GACGTAGTGCCATTGGGTAGCTATCAGGGAAGCAGATGTGATCGTACTTCCATAAAAGTCAGCTTCCGGTTTTATGGTGACACTGGACTCTTCGACTGTGAAGAATTGCTTCATCCATAGATGTAGTTCTCGATTATCGGGATCGCCATCAAGGTGCAGATTCAGTTGTTCCAGCACGGAATCATTGCCGGAGTTCTTTCCGAAAATGCACCACCCGAGGCGCGCCTTCGTCGCCACAGGTTCGGTGTCTTTACCTTCTCGTACTCGCTACGAAGTTAGAAGTCGAACGTGTTCTAGTCCGATAATGATCCCCGGCGTAGCTTCCGTATAACTGCGAACTGGCAGACCCTTCAGGTGCGGGTAAGTCTGGAGCAACTCTTCATACTGCATTGTTTGACTTGGAAGTTGAAGCTCTTGCACTGTCCGAACGTTGCTGAGTTTGAACTTCTCTCTAACTCCAGAAATAACAACGGTCACACGTTGAGATCCTTTCTCCTCCCTCGAAATATTTCCGGTCCAACTCAAACAAAAGTTGTCGGTTGGCCCCGTGATACCCAGCGCCGATGAAATCCAGATCCAGATCCAGAAAAGCATAGGTGTTGATTTGCTGACCATTGCCATGGATGGTTACAGGTAAATATCGAAACAAAGACTATGCAACCGAAGAGTGGAGATTTTGGTGCACAACGTTATTCGTAGACCGCGACGAGCTTCCTACTTCCACTCTGTTTTGCGAGGGATTCCTAGTTGAATGCAGCAGCTTGTGATGATGAACTCTGGATCCATCGACGCCGCACTCCTTGTTGGAACGGCAGGGCCACTTCCGATGTGGTATGAGACAGCTTCTGCACAAATTCTTTTGTTTGATCGCCTTCCATCTCCCATCCAGATCGAGCCCCTTAAACTGTGCGCAGTTCACGATTTCATGATTCGCACAGGCACAGTACGTACAGGTCTTCTTCATCGGCTCCACTGACGGCTTCTCGTCGTAGTCCACTGCTTGTCCGGTTTTCGTTTCCTCAGAGTGTACGTACAGCTTTGGTTTTTCCTTCCCTGGTTTGCTGGATCTCGCGTTCATGGTGAGAGCGTCTATTGGAAGCGTAACATCCGAAGCCATCACCACTAGTTCGGACATGAAAGCGCTGAAAGTCGCCAAGTTGACATAAGCGTATCTGCTCTTGTAGTAGGACCACTGCATTTTGAGCTGAGATGGCAGTTTCTCTATTAGCTCATAAAGCAGCGTCGGATTCCACAGATGGCCATGAAGATTGGCGATAGACATATGGTCCACAACGTTTTGCACCGCGAGACCGAAGGTTATCTACGACTGCAAGTTATCGGTCTTCGGACAGGCAATTTTTGGAGGAGAGAGTGTATCAGAATTTCCGGTCGACCATACAACCTCCGTAATGTATCAATTACAGAGGGCACCGACTGTGGCATCAGCAATCGACTTTTAACTGCTTCCAATGCATTCCCCTTCAAACAGCGCTGCAATCGCGCCAAATTTTCGGAGTCAGTGTACCCGCATGTTTCCGTAGAGTTACAAAACGAGCTATAGAACAGCGGCCAATTTTGAGGATCTCCTGAAAAGTTCGGCAACTCCCACTACCACTAGATGGCCCACTTCGAGCTGGGTCGACAGGCTGCTGATGTGGTGGATGTTGCGGTTGAGATGGTGGTTGTTGGCCAAACCAGGGAATGCGGAAATCTCGTGAGCCCGCCGCTGATTGTGTCACCGGAATCTCGAACTGGAGTGGATCAACGATGTATGCAGGTGGCACCGTCGCATTGGAAGTTACTTGGGCCCCCAGATTGTTGACAAACGTTCTTTCACCCTGCGATGGAACTGGGATGTGACTTACATTCCCCGATCGTATCCCACTGACATCCGTACTGGCGAGATTATTATTGATCCACGTTGGTTGACAACCGGAGCTTAACACTGGTCGGGAGTGTACCAGTGGTACTGTCGAGACGGGATTTTGGGATGACCCTTGACCCCCGGTCACTAATGACGTTATTGGATTAGTACCAACGTTTTGAGAGGCGACGATACTACTATAGTTTTGTGCCGGAATGCTTGTAGTGCACGGTTGACTCTGTCCTGATACTGCGGTCGGAAAAGCGGAATTGTAGCTAACAATTGGTGTATATCCATAGTTTATGGATGAGACTTGTGGTACACTTGTAACTACTATGCTATCATGCAATATTGGCCTACTACTTGAGGGAAATGTGCGCACATAATCGCCACATCCCGATGCCCTACTCCCACTAATTGGTACTTTATTAACTCGTGGGTAATGACTACTGGACATGGGGTTAATTGCTATATTCGGAGGCGGAGCACTACTGTTGACTTCCCGCGAACCATCCATCGTAGCGGAAGTGTCGATCCCGATATGAGAATTGCATCTCATCTGGAAAGAGGAACTTACCAGAGGCCGTTGGGGTACGTCAAATGTGATTTCGGTGCGTGATACGAAGCTGCCGTCTGACCTCACTGGAATCGGAATTTGAGGTACCATCGATGCAACAGAACACTCCACGCTTCTGGAACCATCCACTGAATTTGGCGTTGAAGTTGACGCTGGACCCGAAGTCACTACGGCGGGAACGTTTGACGTGATCAGACTTGATGTGATGGGAGCTGGAATTATAGACTGTTGAACTGGTTCTGTAGCTACGACCGTTGACTTCATGTTACTGGAGGGAACTATTGTCACTTGCTGTGCTGTGCCGACTTCCTGTCCACTAAGCCACGACCGAATCTTCTCTTGACTAGCTCGACTGGTCAGTCTTGATTTCCTTCTTCCGCATCATCCGCTTCATATCGTACTTCTGCTTCAAAAACCGTTCCTCCTCTTCGGCTAGCTTTGTTCGCGCTACTGCTTGAGCCGCCTGTTCCTCCAGAATTCTGCTCATCCGCAAGGCTTTCTGCTCTTCCATCATCTGCAGGCTTAGCTCTACTCGGGTCGAGCGTTTACTGTTAGACGAGTGACCGACGGACGTCCTCGAATGGAAAATCGAATCATCTTCCAGCGATCGGCATCGATCACACTTCCAAGTGCGATCCTTTGTCGGCGATGAAGTCCGTAACACCCGCGCAGTCGAAGTGCACCCACGTCTCACACATATCGCATCCAACGAGATGGTCTGCTGTGTCCAGCCGATCGCATTTGGCACAGTGTTTTACATTGCTGTCGCTCATTTTTCGGTTTGACTAGAACCTCCAGAAAATCTTTGAAGATTGTTCGGATAGATTTTCGGGCAGACGTAAACACGTTTTGATAGCAGCATAAGCAGCTTCAAAGCTGTAATTGTATATTTGTTTAGTTTTATGGTTTTTAAATAAAGGTATTAACTTACATTTTCGTGTTGTTCTTCCTGTTCAAACCCGAAACTATATGAACGTGAATTTTCGCTAGCAACTTCTTTCCTCGATCATCGCACCCAGGCGATACGGATAGGAAATGTGATGTCCTCCCAGAGATCAGTGATAGATGGTACACCCCAGGGCTCGTGCTTGAGCGCTTTGCTATTTAGCCTCTACATCAATAGCGTTCCCCGTGAATTTTCGTGAACGTGAATTTTCGCTAGCAACAAATTGCCCTAGGTTTTATAAATTGTGATTAGGTTTTAGGTTGACGTTTCTTCCACTGACGTCTATGAGTTCTCGCGTTGACAGCTACGGGCGGTATCGAACTCACCCAACTTAAAGAGCCTAAATTTATAAAGAGGCGATATGTCAAAATTGGAACAATCGATTATCTGTCAAAGTCATAGGAAAAGTCATTCCAATCGAGCAGAAGACCTGTCAAATGGATAAGATGTCGTCTCTTTATAAATTCAGGCTCTTTAACCCAACTGTTGTCCGAATCAGCCCTGCGGTTTCGTACAGTACACGGTAACCGCAAAATACCCAATAATGACTACAAAGTAAGCATTTTCGAGGGAGACTGGGACTACCCATTAAATGAGTAAAAATATTACCCATTTATGAGTATTTTTTACTCAAAAATCAATACTTACTACTGGTTTATGTAGTTGTAATTACTCATAAATGGGTAAAATTTTACACATTTAATGGCCCTAATAAAAAATAACCATAAACGAACAATAACCCAAATCATTGAACTATTCCACAAATGGTTTGGATGATACCCAGAACACGTCGTTAAGCAAATTAACCATACAATTTTTATTAGGGGGGTAGTCCCAGTTTCCCGCGAGAAATTTGCGCCAAAAGCCGTAGAACACTAGCCATTTTTCATTAGAATAATTTTAATATTTGAAAAATGTCCCTAAAGTCAGTTATCGCCAATTCTGAAAATCTGGCTCCACTTCCTCCTCCTCCGATGAACCGCCGTGATGTGTTTGGTTTATTTTTATGTTTTCCCCTCCGACGCCCTCGAGATCATTCACCCTCTCTCTCTAAGCTTTCATCACCTTTCCACCGGAATCGCAAGACCTTTTCAAACACAAAAAAAAACCCCACAAGTGGATGAACTCGATGAACTTTCAAGTGATTCCGTCGGCTGTATGAATGCGATTCATCCACTCCACTCACCAGTCACAGTTAGGGCTTGCGTTGCGAGTTTGAGGAATGCCACAGCAGCTAAAGGGGAAGCGTGACTGAAGCAGTGTGCTCTGCTCTCGATTATTATTTTCGAAAGTTTGAATTCATGGGGGGATAGGTGGCGTTATACGAGAAGATTACGTAAGAATAGCTACTCGGGAAACCCTACTATGTATTAGCTGCTGTGTAATCGCTTTCTGCTTCTCTGGGCCGCAAACAGTCAAGGGTGTGTGGATTCGGTTTGCGCACCCGAAAATTTGAATGGGAAGATTTCGATCGATGTTTGAATGAATTCTGTCTATGGCTTGCGGCTGGTGTGAGAAGATATGCAATTTGATAGCAGGCGAGGGGCTGGCCAATTATTTTTTTTTTTTACCTTTCACTATCGGGCATTAATATTGGTTTTCTTTTTTTTTAGGATTTCGATCAATCGACCAACCTCAATGGATTCCACTTCTCCAACAGTCTATTCGGGTTCGATTCAAATTCGATTCCTGCTCTGGAAAACCTACCGCCCCCTGCGGTCCAAGTGGATCAACCCGCTGTAATCGCCAACACCAGGCTGAAATCTCCGTCGCCTATTCCGGAGCCTACACCACTACTGGAAACCCCAAAGCAATGTCATACCATCCAGCCACTTCAACAGCAGCAGCAGCAATCGCCAGTGCAGCCTCCCACGCAACAGACCAACAATCAACAAGTATCGCCCATTCCAATAGTGTCCAAGTTTCAACTGAAGGTCACCCTGAATAATGAGATTTACATCTCCAACGAGTCAGGAACGTTCTGTGAACTGGCCGGAAGTTTCGTCCCGTCGACTGTTGAACGGAAACCGTTGGCAGTGCCGATCGTTGAAATTATTCCACCCGCATCTCCGGACGTTATTGAACCTGAACCTGACGAACCGAAGCCACCCAAAACATTATTCTGCATTGAAAGAGGCATCAAGCGACCGTTGTCCCCATCAGATCAACGATACTGTAATTCCGGTATATTCCGGTCTCTCGAAGCACACTCATCTCCGTTGAAAAAGAAATCTACCTCCACTGCAAGCAATGGCCTCTGTACCGGTGGCCCAGAACAAGAATCCGTCGCTAAGCTCGTGGTCTCCAATGTCATCAACAATGGATTGATCGTTAACAAGAAGCATCTATCCAACAACGAGGAACAACCCAAAGCTTCCACTTCTGCGACCCCAGAGCGGCGCATTATGCGAACGAAGAAAAAGAAAAGGAAAGCAGCACCAAAAACGACTCTGGAAGCGAAAGTGGAACCAGTGAATGGAAAGATTACGACGCGCATTGCAACGGGACCGACGATAACTAGTCGAAAGGTGCCTCAACAGCAGATTGTTGGGAAACGGCCGAGCCAGGTGCAGGAGAATCTCCGGAAGGTCCCCATCAAGCCTTTGGCGACGGCTACGGCGACAGCAGCTAGTGCTTCTTCTCCTACCACTACTACGATGGAGAGTACGTTAAACTTTTCCGGAATTAAGGAGAAAGCCGCGCAAGAAGCAATTTTCATCGAACGGGTCGAAAAACAGCCTTCGTTGCAAATGCAACCACCACAACAACAGCAACCCCAATCCCAAAAGCAACAGCAACAGCAACAACCTCAGCAGAAGATTGTTCAGACGAAATGCGTACCTGCAGGTGAACCTGACACGAAGCTAGCACCGGTGGGTGCCGCTATACCGGACGAAACCAGCTCCAGTCCGGCACCGGTCGAGTTGAAGGTCGTCGCCGATCTGGTGATGGATAAGGAAGTCTTCGGACATATTTCTTTGTTGAGGTAAGTTCACTGGCGGAGCAAGATTTGTAAACTCGGAGTTAAGCTTTGGAGAATTGAAAAATGTTGCATGAGCTAGAATTTTACGTCAGAATTTTGCTGCCGCGGTTTTCTCGGCTTGATGATTTTTGAAAAAAGCCCTTTTTCGAGCAATGTATTGTAGCTCCTGTATTGAATGCAACATGTTTAACTCTTCGAGCCCCAAATCGATTTTTTTACTATTTCAGAACTGGTAGCGAGCTGCTTTTTAGTACCTTGGTCACTATCTTCCAGGCAGTCACTGAAAAGTCTCCTTTTGTAAGGCCAAGTCACCAATCAGTCACTATTTTCAATTTTGTTTAGCGTGAATTTATTTCAAGATTGATCATTCTGCTTGCAGTGTGTATGATCTGATAGTCCAATCGATGCCTACATTTTGTTCTATTTTTCGATCAATTCGAAGATGTTGATTTTCAGCCCTTTTGTCTCAAGACTACTCGTAACAGTTGTCAATACCGCGTTCATCGTCTCCGTCGCCTCTTCCAACGATCGCCCCTTCACTATAAGTGAGAAATCATCGGCGAACTGCACGAGTCCGCAACCATCGTCGTTTACTTCATCCATCTCAGCTGTGCTGATGTTAAACATAACGGGAGAAAACGGGCACTCTTGGGCCAATCCGTCATTCACCACTTTCGTAATCTCTCCTTCTTCCGTCTGCAAAACGAGAATCCTGTGTTTCATGTAACAGTGCAGCCATGATGTCAGTTTCCCAGGAATCCCCTGCTCTTTTAGTGTTACCAGCAGTTGGTTGATGTTCACTTACTTACCTTACCAATCAGGCTTGGCCAACAAGGCCTTGTTGTCCACGTCCATCTGCACTCCACCGTAGATGGTACGCAACACCTTCCGTTCGAAAACACCAAGAGTGCGTTGGTCCTCCACGAGCATAGTCCAGGTCTCGTGACCGTAGAGGACCACAGGTCTAATCAGCGTCTTGTAGACAGTCAACTTCGTGCGGCGGCGAATTTGAGTAGCCACGATTCCCTGCCATAATGCGTCTTTGAATTTCTCTGCTGGTATCATTTTCGGCGGTCACCAGTGACCCCAATTAAACGAACTCATCGACCACCTCGATTTCGTTACCGTCCTTCTGAACTCGAGGTGGGAGGCTAACATTGTCTTCACTAGAACCTCTTCCTCAATGTATTTCGTCTTCGATACGTTGATGGCAAGTTCAATGCGTCTGGCTTTAGTCTTTAGTGTGATGTGCCATGATGTCGATGTCATCGGCGAAGCCAAGAAGCTGGATTGACTTACTGAAGATCGTGCTACTCGTGTCTATCCCAGCACTTCTGATCACACCTTCTAACGCGATGTTGAATAGCAGATACGAAAGTCCATCACCTTGCCGTAACCCCCTTTGAGATTCAAAGGGACTCGAGAGTGTCCCCGATACTCGAACAACGCACATCACTCGATCCATCGTCGCCTTGACCAATCGCGTCAGTTTATCCGGAAATCCGTACTCGTGCACAATCTGCCTGGTGGTGTTCACGCAATCGTTTATTATTCAGTTCCCACCTGGATCGGGTATCACCATTGGGTCTGCTTATTTTCTGATAAACGTCAGTTTGATCGTTTGTTTTTAGAACCTACCACAGGTTGAGGTTCGCACTGCCGGCGCTGGTGGTGTAGTGGTAAGCGTGACTGCAATGGGTCTGGGTGGGATTTTTCTGAGGCATACAAATCTCTGGTCACGTCTTCCTTCGGAAGGGAAGTAACGCCCTTGGTCCCGGCTCATGTGTGTTCAATGGGTGCGATATCCTACGCAGATCTGGAAGCTGCCTTCCTGCACATACGATTGCCGTCAATGGATGGCAATCGATGTCCGTCGGTGATTGCGGAACAGAGACCGACGTTAACTAAAGGAATTAAGAAGAAGAAGAAGAAGAAGAGGTTCGCACTGACAAAAAGTTTGGTTTCGGCTGGGTTTGGAACTGGTTTCAACCCCGATAATAAACGAATTCGCTATTAGATACATCTAGATGTGCAAGCAAGAACAGCAAAGATATTTAATTAACAAGATATCCCACTAATCAATTCCTCGAACAAGACAATGGATACACCACCCTTATGTGATCGCAGTGCCATCTGGTGAGTGCACATTGAAACTGTTGGGAGTCCTCTGCTAACTTCACCCCTTAATAAATGACAGGTGTCAGTATGGCATATGCCAGCGCAGATGTTGATGATCAGCCGAGGGAAGAGGATGATTGATGTCATCATCATTATATTGCGATAGCAAGATTCTCACTTCGTTATGGTACATCGATTTTCAATCATTACCACGTTATACGCATCAGAAACGCTTGAGAAAACAATCACAAATCCAAGCTTACGTCATGATGGGCTTGTAACGTGTTTTGCTTTCGAGTGAACGAGTTTCCAATATCGCCACCGGTATCAGTAAGATGCATTGTTTACAAATGCAGATAAGTCCCTTCGAAAAAGTAATCGAGAATTGATGATTTATGAAGCTGTTGATCAACATAATCTTTATAAGCATTGAAGTATACATGGAAAAAACGCAACGTATCGAAAGTATTGCTAAACAATCGTAATAAAATACGCCGTCGCATTCTATTCAAAAATTACGTTGGAATAATGATTACTTTCCTATTTTATAACGAAGGTATTTGTCAATGACGGCGAATGAAATCGTAAACTGAAGCTGCCAAAGCTGAGTGCTGGAAGCGGTGTTATCACTTTGTTTTGATTTGCATTATACCCTCCGCTCAGTGGTGTGGGTTCATATTTGTATATGTATAGATGATGGTGTGCGTGTTTTCTTCCAACGCTGCAGTTCAACATTGTATCAACAATCAATACGAAACTATCGTTTTTAAATTGGCTCACTACTTGACTAGCCTATTGGTCCCAAGCAAATCGATGCACGTACCTCATTCTAGTCGAAATTCTAGAACTGCACTTTCCTCCCTTTTTATGGCACAGACCTGTTGGTCCATATTAGAATAGAACTGCACTTTGTTTGTTTTGATACGCTATGAAAGTTTGACAGATAAAATGAGGGGTTCGTGGATTTTCCTATGTTTCGAGGGGTACATCGATTAGCTTGGGACCGAAGATAGTGCCAGAGCTGAGCCAAAAAGTTTAGCACGTTTCTTCGGGACCTTCTAGTCTTATAACGAATTTGTTTATTATCCATGTTGGAACCAGTTCCAACCCGTGTGACCCCAAGCTTATTGGCAGTGTTGAGGTTCAAACCCGAGCCAAGTTACAAAAACAAACGTTCAGACTGGCGTTCGACAGGCAACAAGTAGACCCGATTCAGGTTGGAACTGAATCAAAAACAAATTCGCTATTAGAGTTACCTCTATGGTTGTATCGTCACAAACCTATTGGCGCTGTTATCTGTCTCTATAAATTCAACAGAGTGAAGGGGGGGTCTGACTACAGTCATCACTTTCAGGTTTACATTATTTATGAGCGCAATCGGTCTTTTCAAGTTAGGTAACGACGGATTGATTTCAGGTTGCGGGATGGGTCGAATTTCTGTTCGTCTCCAGCTCTCGGGGATGTTTTCCGTCATGAAAATTTGATTCAGCATCTCACTGACCTGCAACTGTAATCCGACAGTCCATCTTCTGTGGCAGTGGGTGAGCATCCGATTCCAGCGCATTATTCAGTCCCGTAGAATAGTCGCCACAAACTCGAACAGAAACCTTGTCGGATTTCCGGACCACAACTATCGGAGTTGCCCAGTCAGAAAACTTCACTGGCGAAATGATTCCGTTTTCTTGCAGTCGTTGAAGTTCGGCATCGACCTTTGGAAGTGCTGCATAAGCCACCGGTCGTTTCGGACATTACAAAGGACGGACGTCGGGCTTCAAATAGAGTTTTACCTTTGCCTTGGTGCACCGACCAAGTGTGCTCTGGAACACTTCAGGAAACTTCGAGCGTAATTTTTGGACAGTGTCTTCCGGTTTCTGGAGAGCAGCGACGTTGACTAGCGAGTTGAAAGGAATCGACCACAGATCAAACAACTCAATTGTTTCAATTCCCAGGATATACAAATCAGGGTATTGATGATAGGTAGACAACTCCTGTATTCTTCACACCTCGGATGGTTAATTCCTTCCCAGGTATCGATTTTGATTGGGCAGTTGAGCAAAGCCCTTCTTTATAACCCTTGCGTTTGCAGTTGTTGCGGTTGTTGTCTTGATAGGGACATTCCTTCACAAGATCACCGTAGAACCAGCATGGAGACGTCGGCTTCTTTTTCTTGAGAGGTTTAATAAACGACGGATGGCTCCGGAACGGGTTTCTCTATGATTTTGGTGTCCTTCTTCAAGTTGTTGAATCTATGGCACTCTTCGACGAGACTTTCCAAGGTGAGCTTCGAACCTTCCGCCGGCTCAGCATTCTCTTCAGCTTTCAACTTACCGAGAGCCTTTAAAACTGTGCAAGGTATTTGACCCCAGATTCTTGGAAATTTCTTTAAGTCCAGAATTTCAAAAACATGTTCAATTTTAAAATTTGTGGCAAATAAACGTTTCAAGACTCTGAATTTTTAAAATTTATTTGTTACTCAACAGTGTTGGCTAAAATCAAGATCAGAAAATCAAAATCAGCTATCTTTCAAGATCAACATCACCTAAAATCACAGGCATCAATATCGGAAGCCATCATCACCACGAAAATCACCCGTTATTTTGGATCAATATCAGCTGTAGAGACGAACCAGCCAATGGCTGAAAGTCTCTTTAATAAAGTAACCTAACCTAACCAATATCAGCTGTGATTTTCGATTCCCAAAATCAACCAGCATTAATATCAACCAAGATCAAAATCATCGCAAATCATAGGATTAGAAGATATGTTAAATTCTAGAGTCTGGGACGTTCCGAAATTCAAGTCAGCATTCCGGATGAAATTAAAATGGTAGATTTCAACCCAAGATGGCTTCCAAAAATCCAAGATGGCGGACCAAAATCCAATATGGCGGCCTTCGGACAGCGAATATGCATCTGTTCGGAATGGGAGGGAACTTTCCCTTTTGACTGTATCGGCAGGGTGGTGGAGGAAGCAAGCGTCGATCGGAAATCGTAAGGGCTCTGAAAAGAGCTGGGGGTTCGACGGTGCTCCAAACCAGGAATGTGTACAGCAATAAACTTGATCAAATTCTGCTTCTACTGCTGCTGATGTTCGCTGCTGCTTGGTCGGAAAAGAACTCTTGTTTTGCACGGTGATGCATGTCTCTAAAGCGGCGAGCGTTGATGTGTTGTAGCCTATTGATGGTCTCCTTCTTCGCTGCTTGTTGGTGGAGTTCGTATCAGTTGACTTTCGGCGGAAACGAAACATACTCCCCCGGTTGTGGTAACTCAACGATTAACAACGATTGTCTAGAATTGCTGATTGGGCGTCGGTATCTAGAACTTCCTGCAACGGTTGTGATGCGACCCAACTTCCTGTGGGGGCTGATTTTTCGATGGTAGTGGAACAACCAGGTTTTCACGGATGATCGGCATGGTTCGTAGGTTCTTCTTCCTGTGTAGTAGGGTAATTTCTGGGTGGGTACTTTGGAAAATAGTACAATTATCCGAATGCTACTGCTGCACCATTCCTCGTCGTCCAATGAAACGCTTGAAGAATGCCAGGAAGGCATCGGTGCTCAGATCGTATAACGCTTCCAGGCCATCAGTGTAGATCGGACGCAGGTTTGCCAATTTCTTGCAAGGGTCGTGGGCAACAACTCGCTGAATGTCTTCCGCCAAATGGACAAACTGAACCACTTGGATGATAGTTTCGGTTGCCTGGTGTGGGTGCGGTTTGTTTCTGGATCACAGCGATTCGGTTTCTTCCGAATGACTGTAGTTGGTTGAGCTGTTTGTTGATCCAGGCCAGGACTATCGTACTTTCGCACCATAGAACAATTTCTCGGAACTCCATATCCAGGACTGGTAATACCTTCTGTACTAACCGGGTTAGCAGGTGAGCGGCGCAAAGTAGTGTTCTCAGTCTTAGCTTGCTGGCTCGATGTCGAATGGAAAGATCCTTTGGCGGTGGCTCCTCAGGCTTTGGTATTGGAACGATATCGATGGAATCAGGAATGGGGCAACTTCGGTACAGGATTAGCTGAGCTTAACTTGTCCGGTGGATCTCTTATTTGTTGTTTCTCAGACTTCGGTAACGGAACGAGTGCACTTGGCTCCAGAATTGGCCTTGAGTGAATTCCAGCTGACATCGGGACCGGCTTGAACATCGGACAGTTTTCGGTTGGCATCAGATACCGCTTGAACACCGGATACTTTTCGGTTGGCTTCGGGTACCGCATAAATACCGGACGGTTTCCGGTAGACATCGGAAACATCTTGAACATGGGCCGGATGGCAGACATCGGGAACAGCTTTAACACCTGATGATTTCGAGCTGGCATCGGAAAATACATCGAATGGTCTCCTGTTGACATCGGTAACGGCTTCTTCACCGGGTGGCTTCCAGGGGACATCAGAAACGGCTTGTTTACCTGATGAATTCCAACGGTTATCGGGAACTGCTTGAACACCGGACGAGTTCTAGTGGACATCAGGAAAGGCTTCATTACCGCTTTCATTCCAGCGGACATCAGAAACGGCTTGAGCATAGACTGGATTCCGGCGGAGATTATTACCGGCTTGGCCACGGTGGACATCAAGAATGGCTTGACCACCGGATTGGTTCCAGCGAACATCGAGAATGGCTTGACAACCGGACACATTCCGGCAGACATCACGAAGACCTTGACCACCGGCTGGATTGCGGCGGACATCTGGAATGGCTTGACCACCGAATTGGTTTCGGCGGACATCGAGAATGGCTTGACCATCGGACAGATTTCAGTAGACATCGGGAACGGTTGGACCATCGGATAGGTTCTGGAGGCCCTCAGGAACGGCTTGATTGCTGGAAGGATTCCAGCAGACATCGGGTAAGGCATCAACACCGGATGGTTTCCGGCGGGGATACAATTCAAACCCGGTCTGGTTCCAGTCGAGGTTAGGATTGTTTGCGGCACTTCATCAGCTGCGACGGACTTCGGTTCGATGGCTTGAAAGTCGTCTTGGAATAGCTTCGGATTGACTTCGGTTGTTTCGGGAGGTTTAAACAGCTTCGGTTTTACATCCATGACTTGAGGTGAGTCCTTATTGACATGGCACTCGGTTGGTTATTAGGCTTGACTTCTACGAACTTGGTTGAATTCTCGACTTAACGGTCCTCTGTCAATCCACGAGGAAGATAATTTGGCTTGCACACAGAGTTGAGCTTAACATCGTCAGCTTCGGTTGGAACCTCATCTTCAATCGTACACTGTAGGTCACGAGGTGTGCTTGTCAGCTTGGTTTCAGTATCGGCAGGATTACCGTACTCGGCCGCACTGGCAGGTGGAGGTGAATCGTCGACTAGCCGGACCTCAGTCAGTCCACAATGGGAGTTCAGCGGCATAATGATGGGTTTCGCCTTCAAGAGTTCGGTTGGATTAACCACTTCACGTGAAGGCTGGGTTGGCTTCTTGATCGACTTCATTTCGGTGGATTGATTCACAATCGTCTTCACATCGACGGTTTGGATCGGGTACGACATACGCTGCGATGGCAACTTTATCGTCGATAACGTACATGGCAGTTCCATCACGTGTGGAAGATGACGGCCTCCGGACAGCGAATATGCATCTAAGTTCATGTAATATGGGTATCTACGGAATGTTCTTGGAACATCATTATCCGTCGCCACTTTGGAATTCAAGATGGTGGACCAAAGCCCAATATGGCTCTAAACAGCGTATATGCATCTAAACCCATGTAATATGGGTATCTACAGAATGGGTTCGTTTAGATGCATATTGGATTTTGGTCCGCCATCTTTGATTCCAAAATGGCGGCGGATGTCGGTTTCTTACGTTGACTGTAATACCAAGGTATTGATTTTCTGTTTGGTAATTTTGCTACTCGCAATATCAGCTAAGATAAAATCAGCCGTGATTTTCTGTTTGTGATTTTGCTGATCTTAAGATCAGCAGTGATTTTCGGCCGTTCCTGATTTTGGATTTTTTTTATTTTTCCCATCACTGACTGAAGATTCATCCACTCTGGATCTATAAAGTGTGAATGGAAAGAACGAAGGAAATTAAATGTTTGTATTCTAAAATGCAAAATCTGAGTAATGATGAGATTCTCCGTTTCCTACGCCAATGAGGACGAAATTAGGGCGGAACATGCTCATTAGACTGATGCAAAGTTTGAAACTTTCCCTCCACAATGCTCAATCGGTTCCAAATCGGGTTCTGATTAGCCTCCCAAAATTTAAACTCTTTTGGTAAGAAACTGACTTGGCACAAACCATTTGAAGTTTATATGGAAATTACTATGGGATTTCCATGCTCATGTTAAGGAAAATTGCTGTGCATTCTAGAAAATATACCGATAAATTTAAGTGCAAAACCATCACAAATGGTTGAGTAGACTATTAGCGAGGTATTGCAAATGATACGTTGAGTTTAAATTGGTAATAGGTAAACAGAAACCTATCATAGGCATTACGATAGTTCTTATTATCGCCACGAAAGTTACGATCTCCAATATGTATAGTACAACTAATTAATGCAAAAAGATGTTACTCCCGCGTGGCAAGTGTTGCCAGTTTAAATATGAATAATTAGCCCCGGCTGTGTTATATTATAATCCAGGTTTTCAAGCTTTCTAATTCCACGCCTCCTTTTTTCAGCAATGGCCACGATCGGAGCAAAGCAGTAATATACCAAAATCCGGTCACCACCAAGAACGTCATCTACAGCATCCTGAATCCTAAATCGCTAAATCTGAGCCTTGGTGGGTGTGGACGCGGCACTACGGCCACCCTCACTCTGGAGCCCCATCGACGAAAGCCAAAGAAACGTGGTAGAAAGAAGAAAGTTCCCGGTGAAAATCCGACGACTGCCCCCGAAGCCAATGCCAACGGGCTCAACTCGCTGACGCCCATACCTCCCGATCTGAGTGCAATTGACCCGGACATCCCGGTAATGATCACCCGATCCGGACGGCTTTCCAAACCGCCACGCTATGCTAACAACTTCTTCCAGAACATCAAACAGAAACCAGACCAACCAACACTACTACCGCCACCTCCACCGCCTCCGCCTGTTATTCCCAGGATAGATCTTCCCGCAACGGATCCGGAGACGATCGAAAAACTGCCCAACTTTTCCGCTGCCCTTACCTCCACAGTTGCTCCTGCAGCTTCGCACCCGGAACCGGAACCGAAGCGAAAGATGAATATCCCCCTTCAGTACCGCTGCGCCACCTGCAACAAGATCTACTTGGGAAAGCGCATGCAGAGGCATCTGGAAAAGTATCCCAGTCACAATTCCCAGCGAGACTGTATGGACAAGGGAAAGGAAAAGATCGAAAAGGAGGACGAAAAATCCACTTACCTGTACAAACATCTATTCGACCTACTGCAAAAGTTCACCGAAAAAGACAAAGGTCGCGTTATGCTGAAGGAAATAAGTAACTTTGTAGACTACGTACGGGCCCTGATCCCCAAACTGATCACAAACGACGAACAAAACAGCACCGTTGAATATATCGATCACAACGTGGCAGACGTTTTACGGCTCAACCACGGAAAGTATCGCCTGAAGCTATCTTCCCTGGCGGAAGAATATGACAAACTAAATCTCACAGTGAATCTGTTGAATAACAACTCCACCCACGGTTTGAGCACCCCCAGCCGACCACCACCTCCACTTTCCACAAGCACTCCCAACGGAACCACCGAACGGCATTCACTCTCTTTCAATGCCGACGACATACTAAACCAGTCCAGTTCATTCCCTAGTCTTACTACGTTGATGCATGAACACAACCTACTCCTGCAGCAGAATGGCACCGTAGCTGCCAGCAATAACATCATCAACAACAACAACAACTCCTTTCATCAACAAAACAACAACCACCAGCATCAGCAAAGCAATCACCATCACCATCATCCCCATCTCCCCAATCACCACCACCACCACCACCACTACAGCAATCATCACCATCATCTGCCGTTGATCGGATCGAGCTGTCACGATGATGCCATGAACAGTCTGTCCGGTTTGTGCAAATCGCCAGTGCAGCATTCCACCTCCGGAATGGTCAATATGGCACTGAATCTGTACTAGAAAAAAAATATGCAAAGGATTAAACAAGTAAATACATACCTACCTACACAAGTAAAAAGAAGAAAAAATTACAAACGATCAAGTTCTAACAAATTATAACTGAAATTGTATAGCTTTTGAAGAGAGTATGAGAAGATAATATAATACAATATGGTTTTACATTGAGTCTAATCAACATACAAAGAAGGATAATAAATTAATTGGATGATAGTAAATGTGTGTGTGTGTTTTTGTTGGAAAACCGTTGCACAGAACAGAAAGGGAAGTGCAAACAAATCGTTGAATCAAAAAGTGGTTCTTTTTTTTTTGCTCAACAATCGAAGCATGGTGGTAGCGTTCCACACGGGCTTCTATGTTCACTCACACTATCATAGAATGCTGCCCATCTTAACATTTTCTGATCGAAAGTTCCACCTCTGTTCTATGACCGTTGGCTACCTCAATATCGCTAGGACGGATCTTCAAAACAAAAGAGGTAAATAAAACTACAGAGGGGGTAAGGAGGGGGTGTACTTTTGGAATGAAGGTTTTGTGATGTCAGGATGTTCACTAAAGTCACAATTTTCAACGGGCCACCTTCAACATCCAGGATAGCACGCATTTTGATAGTATGAGTGACAATTGTAGATGCACCCTATAAACTAAAAACGTGATTTAGTACCACCCTAGAGAACTCGTCAGTCAGAGTCAGAGCCGCTAGAAGAAAATACGGGATTGTTGAGGAAGAGAATAACAGTACCGACAAACCGACATGAAACTTAAACTTAACTCTTGATCGAGAATCCATTACGCCCGATTCAAATGTGCAGCGATCCCATCTGTCAAAACCATAGAAATGTTTTATCTAGATAAAAATAATTTGTCCGAAATAGATTAGACACGAACCAACTCATAAATTTTGTACGCGTGTTCGTGGATAGGATAAATATTTTCCGCGAACACGGCGGCAGTGATAAACGGCGGCAGTGATAAACCAACAATCAATACGAAACTAACGATTTTAAATTGGCTCACCACTTTAGTAGCCTATTGGTCCCAAGCAAACGATTAACGTACCCTATTCTAGTTGAAATTCTATTACTACACTATGTTTGTTTTGATTCGCTATGAAAGTTTGACAGATAACATCAGGGGTGTGTGGATTCATGCAGAACATGCAGGGGTGAGTGAAATAGCTTGGGACTGCTTGGGACCGTTGTTCTGGTACTGAGTGAGCCAAAAATAATAATGATTTTCTTCGGGACCCAGTGGTCTTAGAGTTACCTCTATGGATAAACGGCGGCGGTGATATAAGTTCCGATTTATTAAGAAACATACACTCAGTCAACTCAATTGAAGTTTGTATGGGATTCATGCGTTTTCAATGGGATTCAATATATGGAAAACTACTGTGTCTTTACTAATTCGTTCAGAAAGACTAAAGCTTAATGAAGGAGACCTCTTATAAAATTATAGTTGAAGTTCCGAAAAACAGTTACCTACAACGACCTCGCTCCGTTTTTAATGAAAGTCGTCATTGTGAATTTTGGTATGATTGAACAGGTTTTCGGTGAAATAATTTTCGAAAATCCCCAGAAATTTTAATCCCCGATAACAGCAAATTTCAGGGCATCTTTAGTGGTGTTCAAATTGGCTGGATTGGACTAAATTTTTGGAACAGATCCAAAGCGAGCCCTAGCACCGGTGATCTAAATTTTGTTTTAAGCTATTTTCAAAATGTATTTTTTTGAAATCCGTATAATTCTCGACAGATAAAATGAGGGGTTCGGGGATTTTCCTATGTTTCGAGGGGTGCATCGATTAGCTTGGGACCGAAGATAGTACCAGAGCTGAGCCAAAAAGTCGAGCTCGTTTCTTCGAGACCTTTTGGTCTTAGAGTTACCTCTATGGTTATATTACACAACCGATGGATTGACCTGGTTGCAGCAGTTTGGATGTAATATTCAACAACTTTTTTTCTATGAATGCAATAAATGAATGTAAATGATTTTCCATGCCTGGTTGCGAGCACGCAATAATCTAATATGCGATGAGCAATAAGTTTGAAAATGAATGCTTTTCAAAGTGTCTTATAGTTCGTTCAGACTACAGAGTTAAGGCCGGCGCACAATAGATACGTTTTCAGGTTTTTATGCATTATCTGTCAAAAAACCCGAAAACGTATCTATTGTGCGCAGGCCTTTATAACATGTTATAGCGCTATCTTGATGGTGGTTTCTGTGTTGCAATTATTTGACAACCGCTATAACATGTTATAACCAACAATCAATACGAAACTAACGATTTTAAATTGGCTCACTACTTGACTAGCCTATTGGTCCCAAGCAAACGATTAACGTTCCAATTTTAGTCGAAATTCTACTACTACACAATGTTTGTTTTGATTCGCTATGAAAGTTTGACAGATAAAATGAGGGGTTATTGGTTTTTCCTATGTTTCGAGGGGTGAATCGATTAGCTTGGGACCGAAGAGAGTACCAGAGCTGAGCCAAAAAGTTGAGCACGTTATTTCGGGACCTTCTTGTCTTAGAGTTACCTCTATGGTTCGACTGTGTCATCATGGACGACGAAACTTATGTGAAGGCGTATTTCAAGCAGCTTCCGGGACAGGAGTTTTATACCGCATCAGGAAAAGGGAAGGTGGCTGAAATTTTTCAAAACCATCAAACTATCGAATTTTTGAAATCTCGTCTGGCAGGCCATATGCACGTGTGGTCTAAAAAGTGGCATTTTCATTACTACGGGAACCATCAATCAAGAGATCTACGTCCAGGAGTGCCTGGAAAAGCGACTGCTACCACTCCTAAAGCAGCATAATAGACCTGTGCTGTTCTGGCCGGACTTGGCGAGCTGCCACTATGGGAAAAAGGCAATCGAGTGGTACGATGCGAACAACGTGGTTATGGTAGCCAAAGACCACAACCCTCTCAACAGCCCAGAACTCCGCCCTATCGAACGGCATTGGACCTTGGTCAAACGAAATTTAAAAAAACTAATAATTTCAAGGATAATGAGCAGCAGTTTAAATCTAACTGGCGTTCGGCGACGAATAAGGTCGATGAGACCACTGTGCAAAATTTAATGCAAGCGGTTAAGCGGAAGGTACGGTAGCTCGGATTTGGCAAACCAAAAGAATAAACAAACATTTTTTTTCCTTTAAATATATGAATTGAACTACCAAACGAAAAAATAAGCAGATTTTTGTGATATTAATTTTGACTGAATGAAACGCTTTTTTTATTGACCAATTTTTGCGCGTTCCAGTATTTAAACAGTACCACTGAACTGTCATCAGATTGAGGTTAACCCTGACGGTGCAAAACCTAATGGCTGTGCTTGAAAAACTGGATAAATGCTTGGTTGGAAGCATAAGTAGTGTTCCATTTTCGTCTTATCGTCGGCACATGAGCACTACCTTTTAGCTACGGAACGGACTGTGCTTTTTTTGTTTTATTCAAAAACAGTTGGAAAATTCACAATACGTTGTTAAAAAAAACCACCTAAAGGCACGAGATGGCATTAGGGAACCACACACATGCCAACTGAGCAACAAGTAGCATTGCAAATATCAAAAGTTTAAATAACTTCTCGTGACTGGGATGCTCATTTTCATGAGCTTATAAATACTAGAGTCGGTGTATAATGAGTCACGCCAAGAGAAAAACAGTTGAACTCGCATCACGGTTTTCGAAAGATTCCCTTTCTTTTAACTTGGCAACAGAGGAGTTCTGCATCAACTTCAAATGACATCTAGCGGGGGAAAAAATTAACGGCTGTAGTAAATCATTATAATATCAGAGATTTTGTCGAACTATCTCAAAGAAAATAGTAGAAATTGTCATTACTGATCATTACAAAACGTATCGCTTGACAAATGTAATGCTCACTGCGTGTATATGATCATTTCTTCGATTATATTTTATATTTAATTGCAATACCTTTCGTGGACCTTTCATAGCATCGTAATGCTTGTTTACTTTGCACGATAGGTAGCCGGTTTGACAGTTCAGTAGGTAGACTTGGCTTCACTCTTGGCGTGACTCATTATACACCGACTCTAATAAATACCAAGTTGAGAAAAAAAAACATTTACTTCACATTCCTTTCTCGCATACGCTACGCTGTTTCAATGTAATGACATCTTTCTAATGTCGTTTTCGTTTTTACTACACTACACCGGTGTAGTGTAAGCAGCAATAAGTGCGAGTCATTGACAGTTCATCATCATTTCAGTGCCAACATTTCAAAGGGGCGTAATTGTATTTGTAAACAATGACTTTCGTCTTCGATTTCTCGCGAATGAAAGCTCACTCATGAAAATGAATGACACCGGCAGGTAGATGAATGATTCCTGTCCCAGCTAGCATTGGTTATTTGGAGGGGTGGGCTTTTATTTGCGAGAAATCGACGGCTAAAGCCATTGTTTACAAAAGCAATTACGCCCCTTTGAAATGTTGGCACTGATTTGTTTGTAAAGAAAGGTGCAACCGATAGCTACACCCTAATTTTTTTCGGTGTTCGGCAGTGTAGCACCGGTGTAGCTACACCGCAAAAACGAAAACGACATAAGGTAATCAAACAGAAAGTCACCTCAACGGGAAATAATGGTTCACATACCAACAGAGCCGCTACCAGTCTATCCGTTCCATTTGTTCTTTCATTTACAATGTGGAAACAAAGATTATTAAATATTGAAGTAATGAAATTTGGTTGTTAACGGAATGCTTAGATAAAACAGTAAGAAAGATTATCTTCCATTTAATTCCACTTTATTAATTTTGGTAACTAAACAGATACGTTTTTCGAGTCTTCATCAGTGTCATTCCCACTAAAAACTTATCTAAATCTTACCCCCTTAAGTACTCATCCCCTGGGTAAAAATGTCAACATCACAGGTATGGTTTTTTTTAGTTAGGTAGGTTCCGATTCAACACATTGTAGAAACTTTTGTCGGAATTTCTATTAGTAAGTCGCTTTTAAATATCCTGCTTTTTACGCTCGCCATAATTTCAATCAATCACCCCTTGGTTTGACGTTAGACTCTTACTGCACGGTTAGAAAAAAGTACCCAAAATTAAGTTCTTTTCACTCATCTCGGCACTATAGTGCAGGTACCCAAAAGTAGGTAAAGCGGGTCAAAGTAATTTTCATTTACTTGTGTGCAGTTCGTATGGAATTTTCCACTGGCTTTTCAACCAAAAGCAAGTT